AATAAAAACATTTACAAAACTATAATTATTTATAATAGTATCTCAATAATACTAAAATAAAACTGTTTGGAGTTACATGAGGGTGAGTAAACAATAATAGATTTTTTCCCTTTAAGCAGTAATAACCAATAAGAAACAATGGGTAGCTCAAATGTGTGTGTGTGTGTGTGTGTGTGTGTAGCCAGAATGACTCAAACTTTTAGCCAGAAGTCTGAGTACATTGAATATTACTTTCATGCCCATGACCTTTGACTTTTAGGAAGAGAGTTAATGATGTCATCCTCTTTCTCTTCTCTGAAATTAGCAGCGACGTAAACATAACAATCCCTGAAGCCATAAAAATGCCCTGCATCAAATTAGGCTGTTATGTTTAGACTGAAAATGAAACAGGCTATTCCAGGGGAGGTTTTCTTTGAACATATCTACACTGTACTCAACCGATTACCTGTGCACGGGTCGATTCATTTCCTAAATAAATGATAAATGTAATGGATATAAGGAGAATCACTCTCCAGCCTATTAAAAGGAGAAGAACTCTCATTTCCATTTCCAACCCTAAAAGGAAAACAGAATCTGATCTTGTCAAGTGCATAAGCACATACTTTATTAATGTCTATTCCTCTTGCTTTTAGAGCTTGCTTTTAAATTCAGTTCTGCCTAAAAAGCCAATTACCTTTGGGAAGACAAGATCACCCTTACCATTTCGTCTCTGTTCAAAAATGCCCCAGTTACGATTAGTGACGATATGAATGAGTCATGTGCGCCATATAGAAAAGTGCACCGTGTGCCATCAAAACGGATGTCAATGTCACGGGTGAGCTGACAGCATGCCATAAAGTAAAATGAGACGTGCCACAGCAGGTGTTGTGGTAATAAATGGTTTCATCATGAATGGTTCTCTATGAAAGTGTGGAAGAGAAAAAAATAAATTCTGACATCATGACGAGATTTATGTAGACGGCAGACAATATTATATTCAAAAAATAATAATAATAATAAAACAATACTTTTCATTTCTTTTGTATACTTAATATTCTGCCTAACCTTGAATTTTAATATTTAAGCCATTGTTAAATTCTGTTGCAGCTGAGGTTAAAGAAATAGTTAACCCAAAAAATATGATTATTATCATTATCATTATCATTTCATTCATTCATTCATTCATTCATTCAATGTTGTTTGGATCTCAGTGACTTTCATGGTATGGACAAAAACAGTTTGTTCCACAAAAGGAAAAAAGGTATACAGGTTTGGAACAACAAACAACTATTTTAATTTTTAAAAAGCGATCTGGTAATATAGCTTTTTATATTAAAAGTAGACATTCATGTCAACACTCTCATAACAATTTTAATAACGCGAAACAAGCTGAATCATCCATATCTCTGTCCTTAGATCAGCTTGTGGAGGTTAACGCATTTTTAAACATTTTCCTAAAGCAACCAGAATGAACAATCATATTAATGAGATGGGGAGAATGATTGAATGTAGCCAGTTTTCTTTTCGACACCTTTGTCCAGGGCTTCCTGTGCTCCTGTGACACCTGACACTGAGAACACAATTAAATCTAGAAAGAGGACAGTGTCTGGAAATACATGAGAAGGATTTGCAGTGCTGTCACCTTTAGACAAGAGTGGCCAGTGGCACAAACAATACTGAACTTAAAAGCTAAAAAAAATTAGTATTTATATGCTGATTCTGTCTACTTTAAATTGCAAGTTATAGTTGTTATTGTGAGAGATCTTTGATAACAGGTGTTAAGAGATTTTAAGACATTTAAAAAACAAAATTAGGATACTGCTGAACTGATAATTAAATTGAGCTCCAATAGAATATAATTGGTTATAAAATACATTTATATTTAATGTTTTTTATGAATGGATTATTTTATGCTTCCAAGAACTCTCCTCTCCACAGGTTTTTTTTTTTTTTTTACCTAAAGAATAAAAGTTATGCTTTCTTTCTTTGCGTGAACATTTGGGTGGTGTTATGCAAATCTTCCCACATCGTGACGTAGACATGTGGGGGCGTGTTAGAACGAGCCGTTTTAGGTAGGCGTGGTTGACTCTTAACTTTTATAAAGAATATCTCTTTGGATTTGAGACTTTAGTCTTTGCAACTTTACAGATCTTCTTTATGCACCAAGAGCTTGTAACACTTCAAAGAGAAAGGAAATATTGAAATCGCATCATATGACCCCTTTAATCGCAAAATAAACCCATTTTCGGGGAGGAATGAAATAATTTTTATAAAAGTTATTTTTCAGTTCTTTATAATCTGTGTCTCAAGCAACCCAAATTGTTATTTGCATATTTAGATAAAGTCGAAATTTGCATTTTAAACAAAGCACTAATTTTAAATCTATTATTAATCGCAAACAATGACTTGTCACGTTCATCGATATGTTCGCTCTAGAGGTATTGCTATAGTTACCTCCAGAGTTGGGTATAATGTGTAACGCGTTGCTGTATCCTAATTACTTTCCCTGATAACGAAGTAATGTAATGTGTTTTTAAATGTATGTGATTACAGTTAGGCCTACTAATGTCAATTAAATTACATTACTTAAGTTACAAATGCGGGTTTAAGAAAAAAATATGAAGTAAATGCATTTTAAAATCGTGTTTTTGCGCATCAGTATGCCTTTAATAAATCATCGGATAATGCGAGCAAAAATGCAGAGGAGTCGTATAACATTTAGATGAAAATGATAGATCAAAATGTTGCACTCAATTTCACATATTTTAGTCTGGCATTATAGTTTGGGAAAAGACACACAAGGAAAATGCGTACAAGTTTATGTCTTTTTAAAGTTTAGAATTAAACAGCCTTTGCACACAGGCTTATGCTGAAAACAACAAAATGGAACCTCAAGGTTGATCTAGGAAAATGTGTCCAAATGTATAGGGCCCCATTTCTATATTTTGCCTGGGGCCCCCAATTCACTAAATCCGCCCCTGGTCTTAATAAAAGTAATATAAGTAAGAATAAATGACTTATCAGAATGATCTTCTCTGCTGGATCAAGCCGCGCCTGGCATCGCGTTCTTCTTCTGAGGTTGATTCCTCATAGCGCGTCTTCTTTCAAAAACGAAAAGTAGCCTAGTTGAACTTGATGAATCTTCAGGCTTTGTTTACGGAGGTGATGTGGGCGTTTACATGTTCGCGCGTCTCATGCGGATGATTACCGAATGAATGGCGCGCGCTGTACGTGGGTGTGATCACATTACAGATATTGAGCTCAGACGGGAAAGACTGGACCTAGAGTTGGTTTCATATGGGTTATTTATCTGAGAATATGTGTTTTCGATAAGACTTACTTCATTTAAAAGTAGAGCCCTGTGTCCCCCTGTGTCCCCGGCCCCCCTAAATTTGGAATCACACTAAACTATTTTGCGCAGTTTGTCCTGTGGGTGGCAGTAATGGAAAAAAGTAAAACATCACCAGCTGCTAAATTCAAATCTGCATTAGCTGTCTGGCGCAGAGCCAGAAGAGACAGACGTGTTTTTACAGTGCTTCACATTATAACCAATCACACACAATTCTGTTGAGTTTATGAATGCAATGACCAATCAGAGGCGTCCAGATGTGTCATTGCTGAAACGCGGGTGTTTTGTTCAGTGTGCACTTGCAGACTGAATTCTGCTCTCTGGCGAATTCTCTCATCATAAACAACAAAGTGCAAATGTGCGTACGAATGTAAGTAAGATTTTCATTTCACAGTGTAAACAGCTTCCGTGATTTTAATGGGAGTTTTTGAGAGTGCTTGAACTCTGGCTAGCCTGAAGTCACACAGTGATAATGTTCTTTCATAGGCGTAATTTGCTCCCAAGTAAATTAGGTTATTAAATAAAAAACTAGCAAAACGAGTTGCGAGGTGTCCCCACCACTTTTCAAAGCAAAGTTACGCCACTGTGTTCTTTGATAATGTAAATAGTATTTGCTCTCTTTCTTAACAATGAAAGTGTTATGATTAGTAACGTACAATTTTTTTATTAAATTCACATTAAATACAAAGCCAGTCGTAGCCTATTAAAAATATTTTATGGCACGACACATATGTTGTAGGCTTAAAAGACTGGTTTTTACTATTATGCTACTTTGCCCATCACCCATTATAGATCAACTAACATATTCTAATAAGGTGCAAAATGCATCAACTTACACATATTTTAGGAAAAAAAACAAAAAAACATAAGCCTATATCAGTTATACAGCGCTATCGTGGCTGCTGTGTCACATGACAAGCGTGACGCAATGCCCCCGACACTACAATACAAAATTATTTGTCAGATAGATGAAACATGATGAAACATTCATTTGAGTTTAAATTGTTATAGCTTAATTATAGAGAATGCAGTGATACATGACATTGTGAACAATGACAGAATGAATAGCCTACTGAAAGTAGGTTAAGACGAATTTTAAAACTGTGCCCCCTAAAAGCACAAGTGGCCCCTGCCTTAACACTGGTAACACTGGTTACCATTTCACGCGAACGCGACTGGTTAGTAACAACTGAACGTACAGTATTTTTACTTCTACTGTAATTTTTGCCATTTCACGTGATCCTTCTTGGCGAATCCTCGTGATTATTTTTAAGAAATTAAATAAATTATTTTATATTTAATGTGGGCTAGGAATTACCTGGGAAACCCAAATATCTATTATATCGCTTACATATTTTTTATGGTTCTTTATTTATTTGTTTTGAAGTTGTTTAAGCGCCACACACGACATTAGCTTAAACAATTTGATCTGTATTTGACTCAAACGTCGGTAACGCGATATTATTCAGAACGTTTTATGTCCATTAAGCACAACTTTGGTGGAATATAAAGTGCTAGTGACGTCGGTAGATATTGTGTATGGTGTTCTAAGTAGGACCGTAATGCACCCTGTTCTCTTCAGAGGACACACTTCAAGTGCTGTCCCGCTTCGGAGTGAGCAGGGTATAGTGATGCTCACTTTCGATTAGAACTGACTCCTTATGAAGTCTGTTCAGCGCTGAGCCTGCTGCTGTGCGCACGCGAGAGAGTCAACCTGGATAGGATGAAGACGCGTAGCCCGCGTGGAAACCGCACGGGTTAGTTTACACCGGCGAACTCCACTCGCGCGTCAGCAAGACTTTTTACAATTGTCGTCACATTCTGCTCGCTGGACAACATTTAGCCGCACGCGCGCAAAATCCGAACATCTATTTCCCTTATCCGCGCCCAGTGACGCCTCCTCGCTGTCATGTAGGGGCTTCATGTGAACGCATTAGCCTACTGTTGACCGATGGGACACAAACAGAGGTTCACTCTCGGTGTGAGGAGGCAACGCGAAGAGGATCTGCCGTGTTTACAAGGAACGAATCAATTTGGAAAAGAAACGGAGCAAATAGTGGCAGCACTCTCGGAAAAGTTCAGTTCCAGCCGCAGGGGAGCAGGTTGAAACGCTTATCATATCTAACAGGAACACTGAGTGTTGCGCGTGACTGATATCGCGTCTGAATAAACCGTTTACACCTGCTTCCGAGGACATTAAGAAATCAAACCGGACAGAAGACTATTTACCGAGGATATAGTGTACATTTGAATCCCTAAATAATAAGGATATATCGCCTGTATTAATAATAACTCATCTGGAACTGGGTGAAAATGAGGCAGCGACTCAAATGCGCGCAAAATTCACCCGTTTATTTCCAGTTGTAGGTGCTGCCCTGACCATCCTTCGGGTGCATATCTGTTGTTTTTTAAACAGGTCTGTCACCCCGCAGCGGAGCATCCGGACAGCTGCATCTGGAGCAAAGGAGCGCTGTGCTGTTTGACGGTTTCTGCAGAAAAACACTGGAGCAATGAGTCGCATCCTCCATCCTCAGGTACGACTATTACCCAAATGAAAGCGTATGTAGCTTAACTGTTAAAATGTAAGTTATTTTAACAGAGAAAAGAATATAAAAATGCTACACTTCAGTAAAAACCTTTTAATTGCTTAATTGTGAATTACCTTCATGTAGGCCTACGGTGAAAAATTGTAGAAGACAACCCTTTTTTTTTTAAGAAGGGCAACGTATACATTACCTTATAATTTGCTGGAAAAAAAAAAGTGTATGGTAAAATATAGATAAAATCATATTTTTGGAGAAAGAAACATTCCCAGACCCCGTGCGCACACAGTCACAGTTGTTGTTAAGATGTCATTTAAAAAGTTAGATTCTTCTTATAAGATTCTAATTATATTAGATTCTTCTTCTGATAATTATGTGCATTGGAGTGTTTTATGTTGCATTTTATGTTGCTTCAGTCATATTTGAAGCATTATTTTAGTATTGTGTGTATTAACCTAATGGTATTTTGTTTGCGTCGGTAACATTGTGCTCTTGTCAGTCTTGTTAGTCTGTTGGTACTGGTGACAGTTACTATAGAGGCTTTTTATGCTAGTACATCGTGTGGCATTCCATTGTATCACTTGTGTTTTGTGTGAGCAAAGTATAGTATCAAATACATTTTAAGGACTCAAGTAGATTGGTATTTTTTGTGTCATTTACATATACAATCATAAAAAACTTCTGGAAACCAGAGCTGCCAGTTTTAAAAAAAAATACTTTTTTTTTACCACAAGTTTAACAAAGTATTTTTATAGCACACATTTTAGCCGTTCAAACTTTTCCACACTAGTTGCGTTGTTTAGTTTTACAGCCTTTTTGCCCTAATTTTTGTTCCTTTTTGATTGTCTTGTTTATATATAGTAGAATAACACTTGTCATTAAACTATCATTTGACACTGAGATTTTAAGGGAAACGGTGGAGGTAATTAATGACTATCCTTCGACGGGGGAGATCATTGCCAATGTGAGTCAGCAGTGTGTGGGTGTGCTATTGAATTCTGTAGACAGTAAATACAAGCAGGGACAGGACACAATCCCTTGCCAGTCCTCAGCTGAGCTGCAAGGCATTTTAAAAGAATGTCAATTCTAGCTTATAATAGAAGCTTGGCAATGCATCACAGGCATATAGATTCTAAATAATATAAAATGACATCACTGAAAGGTAAAGAAGAAAAGAGCCTTTATTTTTAGCCTTATAAAGGGTGCAGCAAGTTTATTAGTCTCCGCTCTGGACCGTGGCCCAGTTTGGCACCATTACGAAGTAATGTGCTGAAACTGTGACAGTCAAAACATACAAGCTTTCAGCTACCATTAATATGTGTTTTACCACTTTCTACGCAGCAGATAGTGCTGCGGATTTTTCCCTGAAAATGATTTGAGTGACGATTGATCATATCTGAGCTTTGAAATACTTGAGTGAGTGAAGATTGAGTGAGTGATGAGTGCCCGTGTTATGAAATGTCCCATGTGGCTGGCAGGGGTGCAAAGAAGTAATTAGGATTCCGCACAACTGCTAATCGACTTATATTTTACTCTTTTTCGTTGCCTCAGCACATCAGTGTGGTTGCTGTGATCTCAGAGGACATTTTGTATTAAAAAATGCAATACTCACGTTTCATTCCTGGCATTTGATAGGCTGACAAACTTTTTGCTAGCAGCTATGGAGGTCAAAAGGTCAGATCTGAGATGATTGACTTGCTGTGCTGATGATTACGATATAATTGAGGTCAGAAGAAAATTGAGTCATCTGTGAGGAAGAAATCTTATGAAAGTGTAATCTTGCCCACTTTAGCCGTGAATGACATTGTTATCATTTCGTTCTCCTCCCTCTAGCTCTTTTGATCGCATATTTCCATCATGATGGAAGATTACAAGTCAAATGTTTGCCCTTCATTTACACCTTGGCACACCTAACGGGAGCTCAGAATGCTCAGAACCCGTCCTGCAGAAAACAAGGGTCTTTGAGGTCATTTGCCCCACAGGACATGTGTTTGTGTGTGTGTTCATAGCACCCCACAGGAAGAATAATTTCACCTTTACACATGACTCCTTCGGCCTGGTTAAGCACAGGAAGCTTTTGTCAAATTACAGTCGACCCAGTGCAGTTCAATAAGCACACAGGTCTAATGAACTCATCACAGAGATGTAAGGAGTGGAAAGGCTTCTTGCTCTCCACAGACCCAACAGCTTTGAGCTAAAGGTTTTAGATACGGACAAACAACATTTTAGATGCATGCAGTGGGCTTATCGGTTTCTCCTCAAGATGTCAGAATTTAAATGTCAGAAGCAGAAGAGCCACAGTCTTATTTTGTGCTATTTGTCGCAGTTTGGTTTGCTTATTTATTTGCTGTCTCGATTCATTGTAGCAGTTGTGGCTATTTGGCTTTTTTCACATAATAGTGTACATACTGAATGGTGTACATGTCTAATTATAACCAGAAGTGTTCTGTTTTAAAGGAGAAAGGCTGTTTGTCAAGACATGCTTGTGATCTTTTGAGAAAAGTTGAGTCTGTAGAGCTTGGAACTGCCTTTTTGAGGGTACTGTTGAGGTTTAGGGGTTTTAGGCACTTCCAAACGCATTCAGCACTCACTGTGTCTTAGCAACGGCAGGTACGACCCATTATTTTGTAGTTTTAATATCCCAGAGGTCAATATCGTGTCTATGATTTAGCATGGTTCATGCGCCGCAGTGTGTTTGCGTGACTAATCAAACACGTACTGAGTATAAACACAGGTGAGGATTCCCAGTGAGCAGTGAACAGCCTCTTAAGTACTTAGAATTTAACTTTGCGTTGGGCCACATTGTTCCTTTTGACGACAGGCTCACTTTCTAATAACCAGTCAAGGCGATTATTGTTTTATTATTATTTTATTTATAATGCAATGTAAATGGTGGCTTATTTAGTGCTAAAGACCTGCTAGGTATTTTGTGGCAGAGCTGTATCTCTTTTAGGAGCTCTTTCAGTGATTGCTCCTCTGCCACATCTCCTTGAAATGTAGCTCATAATAATGACGTTAAGCCATTTGGGAGTTCCTTTTCTGAACATATCCTTTCAAATCCTCTCTGCAATTCTCAAACTCTGAAAACGAGCTTGCTGCCAAGAGTTTCCGTTTAGGGTTGGTTTTTGTATGCAACGTTATAGGGCTGCACAATTAATCGAATTTCTAATCGTGATTACAATTATGGATGGCACTAGTGCTGTGTTCAAAATATCGATACACGATGTATCGTCACAGAGATTTGACGATACGAGTATCGATACAGCTGGCCCTGTATCGATATTGTGGCACGTGTGCAGCAGTGGACCGCGCTTAATTTGTTTAAAATTTTACAACGTTTAAAATGGAGTAGAAAAGTGCAAGGTTTCTAAAAAAATAATGAACAGAACATATATAAGCTACAACAAGGTTTAATCTGGCCGCAGAGGAACACAATTGGGTTGCCTGATATAAAGAGACGTAATCCCCGAAACAGAGCCTCCCATTTGCGCAATACGGAAATATCTGCTAACTGTGTTACTTATCTTTGTCAACCTGGCAACCATGTCCACGCGCTCTCTCTCCACTGTCGATAAGTATCGTGACTTTGCTGGTGATACCCCTCCCTAGATGGCACAATTACATAATCGTTCAAAGCGGCAATTAATCGTTCAAAGTCCACTTATGTTATTCTGCACGCTTAAGATATATATTTTTTTTCTTTCTACATGTTATCTTAAGGGTTTTTCCATTGTTTTAGTTTGTTTTCATGTAACATTATAATACCATTCATATTTAAAAAAAATTTTATAATTTAAAGAAGAAACCAATCCGATGTATATTTGACATTTGAGGCTTAATACTATAGAAAAGCACAAGGTTTTTCAGTTAGAGTGTTTTCAGCTTGTTTATTTTCATATAAAAATACAGCAAGCAGTTGCATCAAACAATGGAATAAACATCATTCAATGTAAATTGTGATAACCGTAATTAATAATCGCAATTACAATTTCAAGGGAATAATCGACAATTATGATT